TTGAGTTCCTTTTACCTCCCTGTCCTTTCAATGTTACAGAAACACTTTTCAAATTCTGCACACGATCTGTTCAGTGGATTTCTAATATAGCTCAAATTATATATAAAGCATACAGTTTTGTGCACTGTGAGTTTTCTGCCAATTTCAAAGTCATTTTAACAGCATAATTTCATTACTTATACTTTAAAAACAGTATTTTGTGTTTTACAGTAAGTTGCATTGAGTATCTCGTTTTCTATCTTACCAGATCGGCTCTTTAAAATGTCATAGGCTTCCAGTTCGAAAGGCATGACCATGCTGTCAAACCTGCCAAGGTCCGTAGGGGGAATCAGTGTTCTGTCTCAAAAAGAACAAGAGTGTGATGGATATACAGTACACTGGATACCACATAATACTTCTTGTAGTGCACTCCTCCCTTCATTTTCATGCATATATTTCCAGGGTTGAAATTGTTGGCCCTGTCTCACATGAGAAAAACAATAATGCTGGTGTCATATGGGTTTTCAGTTCTGTCTAGCTAAGCCTCTTCTTGGAGAGACTTGCAAGTTGTTTAAAACACTTGTGATGTAGAGAATTACCCCTGTGTTTTGAGTTTATTACATGATAGTGTACTTCTCTAGTCAGCGCACTCCTTGATACTTCCTAGTCCTTGCTTTGGGTACCAGCAGAATCCCTATTTGGATGCTACTGTTTTCCTCTTACTAATGCTCCCCATCCGGGTATTCTGCCCATTTCTCCAACACTTCCCTCCCACCTGATCTCCCGGAGCAGCAGCAATTTCTCAGGCCGGTCCAGAATAGCCAGCAGGGGGCGGACTAGGTCCTCAACCACGTGGTCCGACACAAACTGAGAGACGCACAAAGGAGATAGCAAACCAGTCAGAGCTTCAGGCACAAGATAAAAATCCTCTCTTCAGTATGAAGATGCAACGTCACTCTCATTGTCCACTGGAAAACATGACTGATCGTTTAAATTTAGAAGAGACAGCTTGGTTCCTTGGTCATAAAAAAGTACACTCAATAAAATTACTGAACACATTGGCATATCTGATGAGATTTATGGAACTCTGTAGGAAGCATACATTGAATTAAACAAAAGGTGCAACCAATCCTCTGTCCGAATTTAATAAATATGATTTCTGCAAAATCCAGTGTGCAAGGGTTCAAAACGTTATTTGTACCTACTGTACCTTTCTTGTTAATTAAAACCCACAGTCAAGTCGTGCTCTGAAGGAGATGCAGTTCCACAGCCACAAGGTACATGCAGAATGGGAATGCTTCTAGACACTACACCTGTGCTACAGAGGACACTTCTTATATACAGTATTTAGCCCAGTCAGAACAGCACAGTTTACACAATCTACATCTATAACTATCAAAATTGTCTTCAGTAACAGCATGCTTCATCAAAGCGGCATGCTTCCTAACTCAGCCACTCGCCACTGCAAGTTCACAGTATAATGGAGGGGGGTAAAAATCACATTACTACCCCCACCCTGCATGAGACAGTTACAGTACAACCACTGAATTGATGCAACTCTCAGACTATATCAGGTGAGTTAGTTCCATTGTAGTTTTAATATTCCCCCTCAACTGCAATCATCTGACCCACTAACTCGGGTGCAGGGTGCAGGGTGCAGGGTGCAGGGTGCAGGGTGCAGGGTGCAGGGTGCAGGGTGCAGGGTGCAGGGTGCAGGGTGCAGGGTGCAGGGTGCTCACCCTCTGGCAGTGCCTCATGATTGCAGTGACCTCGTCTTCATTCAGCAGCTTCCTGGCCATGTCTTCTACTAGGGCCAGCGCCTCGGAGTGGGGCAGGGGGGTCTGCTCACGCAGGGCGGCCACAGACTCCTTTGGGGAGCTGAACAGGCTAAAGAGCCGCCCGCGCTCCTTATCTGGGAGACAAACAAAGAGGCATGAGGGGCTGCCTTACAAGAAGCAGGGCAAGGAGAGTCATGAGAAAGCCTGGCTTCCATCCCCTGGAAGCTGTGCTCATGCTACAGGCAAAACATTATTTTTTTTCTAAATCTTATGGCTGACCAGTCACAGTTCTGCTTCCAGGTGTTGTTGGCAGCGATACAGTAGAAATGAAAATCTGAACAGGTTTAAGGAAAGACACAGGATGGGTCAAAACAGATTTGAAAGATGTAGCTCAAATTGTAAACCAGGCTTAAGAGAACACCATACAGTGGGTATAGAAAGTCACCACCCCCTTTCAAACCTTTTGTTGTATGCCACTGAAAATAAAAACCAATTTAATTAGGCTTGTTCCATTTCTATTTACACACAGTAACCCACATTAGACAAGTGAAAATAAAATTTGAAATCATTCTGAAAATTAATTAATATTACAACA